ATATAGCGAAATGCACAAACATTTCAGTTTATGAAACGAAATTGTCATAAAAATTATGGTGATGATGATTATTATTGCGCTCATGTTCAACGTCGCCAATATATTCGCTTTGGAATCATAAGCAGTTCTCTTAATCGATAAGTCTATGATTTGTTTTGCCAATCATATATAGATTCAATTGACTGTCAATATTTATTGGGCATGAGATCGACAATCTTATGTGAAAAAATCGGATTTCATCTTTAATGCTTTCCATGTTTGTTTTTTCTTCTTCTTCTCATGTCATTGTACAAATGCTTTCATGCATCGACATTTATTGCACAAAAACTTCGCCAGAGCGATACAGAGAAAAACGTCACATAGGAAATTGATTGAAGAGGGAAAAAACAAAGTTCGCCAACGACTTTTAGATTTATTTGAATTTCAAAATAATGCAAAATAGTTGTTTGTCGAGCAAATAATATAAAAATTACGCCATTTCTTTGCTAGTACCTTTTAGCTATATTTTCATTTGTTCGCTTGTTGTTATTCTTGTTTTTTTTATTGTATTTTCAAACGATAAATAAATGTCTTAATTTAAGATTTACTCAAACACACACATACACTGTGCAAATCATTCGCAAAGTGGATGTCGAGCAATTTAGTCATCAATCAAAGTAAACGAGTGTGACTGTGAAAAAGAAGCGGGAGAGAGCAAGCGAGATAGAGCGAGAAACCGACACGGCTATAATTAAATCAGACAGTTATAAAGAAGCACAACCATGCAGTAGCTGCACCATCTGCAAATGATAATAATAAAATTGAAAATGTTCTTCCTCTTGAGCACTACATCCTAATGGACATTTGATCGATTTATTTTACGAGCTCGTCAAATACAATGCAACCGGTGGGGCCATTAATTCAGTTTCGGTCTCCATCAATTATAGGCGTTTATTCAACATCTAATTCATACATTTTCAACTATTTTCTGCAAAAAACAAAAATGTCGATGGAGAAATAAATCATGCAGAAAAGATGTATGTGTCTTTAAATTATTGAAGTACACTCATCTACTTTGCCATTTAATTTGTGCAGTATTTGATGCATTTTCGGATGTTTATTTATGTCGAAGAATACCTTTCATCCGAAGCGTAATTTAGTTGGCAAATCGATAACTTCTATAATAATACTTGTTTAAAATCGAACTGTAGGATTTTACATAAGACATGGTTAATTATTAATTCTACCGAAGAAGCAGCTTACATGTCCTTAAATTTATAATTATGGTGGCAATTAACTTAATTATAGTGAGATGTGTGACTTTCGCACATAATTTTAACCGCCTGGAAAATGATGTTTATATATAAGAATTACACAAATATGATAGTTACATATAAATAATTCAAAAATTTGTTGAGATTTGCCGTTAAATGCATTCGAAACCCGTGTGGAAAAAAATGACAATACTTGGACAAATTCATTAAAATTGAATTTATGTGACTTTTTCGCTTAGTATCTTGTCGACTATTTTGGTACAGTTAACTTTAGCTAATGGAATGAAATAAACTAAAGTTGTCTATTTTTCCAGTCAATAGTAAGTCAGATTTTTGCACGCGGGAATATACCAAGCATATTTTTTTAAATGAACCATTCCCCAGTAATTTTTTTAATGATTCGATCGATAAATGGATGTCCTACAAAGAAAGTAGTTTAGTGTGAATAATTAAATGCTGGAAATGTTTGTATGCATTGATAATGGATAATAGACATTAATGAAGCCTATCTTAAAATTTTGTGACAAGCTAACGTAATATATTTTAAGTGTCTATATATTTTGGGCCAGCAGAATCCGAATCTGTTAACAAATTCGGGATTTATATAAAAATCAAATTTAATCCATCAACATTTCGAGTTTTTCTTTTCTTTTCAAATGTGTCATTAAAAATGAAATATCAGGAATCGGATGATTTTTAGCGAAAAAATGTTAGAGTGTAGTCAACGATCTGACGGATTCAGGTTCAGCGGCCAAAATTTATATGAATAATTTTTGGACGGTTTAAAGTACTTGAATATAAGAAATGTGTTTACCATCGACCAGTGTAATTAAAATTGTCCTTGTTGACGTTTGAGTGGGGAATAAGCACACAATTTTATGTATGCAAATTGATTTATAAAGTCTTTCGCACCTCGTACTGTGTTAGTTGGCCGCAATAGACAATATAAAAAAGATATAGATTATATTTGTTATCAAGCTCCAAAATTGAGATTCTGAAAACTTTAGTGTTCTTCAGTACATTTCGGACAACGCAGGCTTGAAAACCCATAAATAAAAAAATGGCCAAATTCAAAGTGCTGGATTTAATTCGAAAAGTGTTAACGTGGCTTGGGATGTATCCGCAAATATTAAGCGGACCAAATATTTCAATAATAAAAACATTGGCCGCATATCACATTACATTTATCATATGCGCTCTATTCATTACATCGAGCTCATTGTTTGTCTATCAAAACTATAAACAGTTTGAATTGGCTTTAGAAACATCGCTAATCGTTATCGCTGGATTTCAGATCTTTGGAATGTTCATGAGCATCCGGCTCAAAATGAAGTCGATCGAAAATTTGCATCGCACTTTACAAGATGTAGTCGATAAATGTAATAATTTCGATGCCGCATTTTCACACACAATAATGTTGATTTTTTGTTAGGTGAAGAGGATGAGGTGTCGGAAACCTACTGGAAATGTGAACAAAAAGCACAAAAAATTCAAAAATGGATTTATTTCTATCTATGCAGCGAGTTAACAGTATATTCGACATGTCTCATAAGTTCATTTTATTGTATTTATACTGGAAATTACGACACATCAACATGGACAACAACGTATAACCTCGTTATTCCCTTTGACACCGATAATTTTTGGCGATGGTATGTTATGTGGTTCACTCGATTCAATATGGGCATGACGTATACGGCGGTCACAACCTCAGCAACGGCGTATTTTGTTGGATGTTGCCTTTATATTAGTGCGATGGTAAAAAAATGTGTACACAATTTGAATCACTTTCAATGAAAACCGCTGTGTTCGCTTTTATATTAGTGTGATCATTTTGGATTTATTATGCGATCAACCGAAGAAGATGTTAAGCAACTTAAACGGATTGAGAAATCAGCGAAATGCGAGAAACTGAGTCGGATTCTTAAGCAGAAACTTTCTCAAGCAATCGAAATTCACGTCAAAATTTTTGAGTAAGAAAAATACTTCTGGAATTTGAAGTCCCATGCAAAATAAATGTGATAACTTTTTTAAAGGATCTTCAATGTGGTCTCCGATATAAACGGCGGAGTAATACTCTCCCTTTTGCCATTGAACGGTGTTTTCTTTGCAATGTCGCTATATAACATGGAACATGTTTGTATTAAAATTACATTCCTTATCATGCGAAATTGAATCGGTTTTTTTCGTTTCAGTCACCATTTGATCCGGTCTCCTTTGGTTTTCGATGGTTGTGCATTCTTTGTTCTTTAATATGGCCATCATTATATTGCTTCTTTGCGAGTAATATTAGTGATCAACTTGGTTGTATTGGCAATATTATCTATGATTTGAATTGGTACGATTACCCCAACAATCTGCGAAATTTTATGATTTTGATTATTGTACGCTCACAAAGACCAATGTATTTCAATGGATATCATTTGATTGGCTGCTCATTGGAAATATTCGGGAAAATTACAAAAAGTGCATGCTCATATTATATTGTCTTTCGGAATATTGTAGAAAGCCAAAACTAAATCTGAATATATTTAAGTAATTCAGCATTAATTTCGGTTGGGGAAATAAAATGGATCAAGTGTAACTGATAGTAATACAATGCATGGAAAATTATTTGACCTTGACATTTTCACATATTTTTATTGCAAATATTAAAAAGAAAATATTGTTATGATAACTAACTTAATAAATATTTTAATCAGAACATTAAGTAATGCACGCTCTAGTTGAAAAAATAGATCGCAGATAATATATCCACTTGAAAAAAAAGATAATTACCAAAATATAATCCATCGTCAAGAAGATTTGGTGTGCAACCATTTATATCTATGTTCTATTTGAAATTTTATTCTAAATGAAACATGTTAATTATGTAACCAATGTCTGGATAGTCCGGAGAGCTATATGCTTGTAATGTTATTTTTTCATCTAATACGAATAAAAGAAGGAATATAATGTTGAATATATTATCTGTATAGAATTACTGAAATATATGACGGCCTAAGAAGAAAACAATAACATACAGAATATTCTGCAAAAAGACGAATACAAATTTATGTGATCAAAAACCAAATATACAAACAGACAGCGCAAA